CTCGGAGGGGCCTCCCAAAAAGTGTCCCTGGCTTGGTAACAGTGGGGGTGGGGGCGTGGCGGTTCAGCCACTGAGGGGGTCCTCGCGGTAATGGATGGCATACCGCAGCTTCTCCAGCATGATCTCGAGGGAGGAGTACTGGGGGAGCTTGATCATGAACATGCAGGTCTCCACGCGGATGTAACGCGAGTCGGGGGCACCTGCGGAGCATCAGAGGGAAGAAGCGAAAACACAGAGAGAGAAAGAGAGGGGGGGGCATTATCTTCTCTCCTTTTGCTCTGGGAATTTGAACCTTCCCTCCCAAAGGAATTCGGGAGCAGGATGGGAAACGGAGCCCCCCCCAGCAGCTAACTTCAGAACAGGAACGTGATCGTGTCCCCCCCCAGTACGGTCTGGGGACCTGCGGCCTCTTGGACCTCCCCTCTCCCTTTCCGCACCCACCCCAAAGAGGCCCCTCGAGGAGGAGGCCCCCTCCGCCCGCGGGGCTCCCCTCCTGCGACGTTACCTGCTGTGCCGTCCGGGGGTGCGATTTTCATGGGGTACGGAGGGACGTGGGCCGTGTCCGGCCCCCCATCTCGGCAAGGGCAGGTGAAGGGGATGCGCTCCTGGTTGCAGGCGAACTTGATGAATCGGCACAGCTCCTCCTGCGTGAACATCTCCAGGGCCCCCCAGAAAAACTCGATGTGCTGGTCCGTCTCCATCAGCCCCACCTGGTACATGGTGTGCGCCTACCCGGGCAGGGGGAGAGAAGGGAGAGGAAGCCCTCACCCACAGCATCGGGTCACAACCCCAGGACCGCATAGCCCCTCAAGCGTAGCCTGTGGGGACCCCTCATGCCCAGGGTGGGCCGCCAGGGGACCCTCCCTTCCTCCAGAGGAGGCTTCCGGCTTGGCTCGCCTCCTCCCCCCCCCAAAAAAAACCCCAACTGGAATACAGATGGGCCTACCTTGAGGAACTCCAGGTTGATGTATGGGAGGCCGCAGGTCCTCAGCTCCATCTCGAGGGGGGTCAAGAGGGTCAGAAGCTGCAGGGGGATGATGGAGCCCAGGCCGGCCCTCACGGCCGTCACACACTCGGGATTCTGCAGCTCCCGTAATCTCAGGTTCCGGATGGCGGTGGCGTAAACGTCCTTGTTCTCCCACCTGCAAGAAAGCAAGCGAGAAAAAGTCAGCTCGGGAGGGGCTTCGGGGGCTCCTCTCCCACTCCTCCAGCCTATTCCCTCCCCCCAGCTCTTCCGCCTGCTTTTCACTCATGCCCCGTGGCCAGAATCCACCCAGATAAACCGAGTGGCATATCTCTTGCTGGTGTGAACGGCCTCTAGTTCCGTGCTTGGCGCCTGTATCGATCGCTGCACGCCGGGCACAAGATGGGAACGGTGACGAGCCATCCCGGGATTCGAGTTCTGAATCCGCTGCGATTTGCCACACGCTCGCCCGGCTGGGCGTGCATTTGCAGGAACAAAGGACAGGATTCATGTCTACGAGGGCTTGATGGGGGAACCCTACACTTTTTATGGTATAGGTTTATCCATGGGACGTCGCAATAAAAAGGCAGTGTGGCTGAGTTAAAAGGGAGGCACAGGTGGG